ATCTATTGTTTACGTAGTCGTCTTGTGGGCTAATTTCTACGTAAAGTTGTTGATGTCTTCAGCAAAAGCTGCCGTGAATAGCTTCGATGAATGTAACGTATTTGAGAAAGCTGCACAGTTATCTGTTATTGTATATGATAATATACATGAAATCAGATGTGAGAATAAAGGAACAACGAAATATTCCTTTTCTGCAGTCAGGAGAAAATAGAGGATACTGAAATGGAGTTCTAATTCAATACCAAATGTTTATAATAATCTGAATCACAGGGTATATCTTTTTAAGTCCAATCTGTCTAGGGATATAGAAACAACCCCTGGTCCTGTTATTAATTATGCTAAAACAATTCAAGCTCCTGCAGTCAAGACAATGTAGCAATGTTTGGGTTAAATGCTGGTACACAGTGTGTAGCTATGTGGCTTGCTTCCCTCATATATAACAAGAGGAATGGTATTGTATCCTCAATGAACTTGGTTAATATCATGAACATTGGTAATGAATTGTATTCTGGTCTATCTAGTCTATCCAGGCAATCCTATTTACTGTTAACAGAAGTACCTGAAATGATAATTGTGCTTCATATTAATTATCAGCTTCAGTATAGTCCAAGCTATACTGGTACTATACATGGTACTTGTGAAGTACAAGATTTCAATTATTGTATGTCATTTGCTTATGTTATGCAGGCTTTGCTTGGACAAAATTATAATTCCTTTCTTTTAACAATCCTTAGTACTACTGTAGGTTTTTACTGTAATGGTGATGGTAGGTTTGAGATATTTGATTCTCATGGTAGAGATTAATATGGTATGCCCCATCCTCAAGGGACTTGTGTACTTTTAGAAGTTAACACCTTAAATGAGCTGATGAGCTATTTTCAAGGTCTTAATCAAATCCAAATGTTTTATTTGAACTTAAAGGTGTACATATTAATGAAAAACAATTTGATATGACGGATATTTCAGATCAACAGTTGCCAGCTGTCCCCTTTGAAGCAAATCATGCAGATGCTGAAACTACAACCATTTATGTTCCCTTGTTATGCTGCTGTGCCACATCTTTTTATGGCATTTGTTTTTCCATTATCAAATATTGTGGGTATTGGAATTCACAGACTCTAGAACAGTGACCATGCAAATAAATTTTACAAAGAAAAACTCAATGGCGATAACCATCCACTGACTATCAACAATTTCCCAAGGACACTTCAAATATATGATTCAGATAATATTGCCTTTAATTTGGAGAAACAAGGAATACTATGCTGTACATCTCTTAGTAGCGAATTATTGCTTCTTAAGTTAATAACAGATAATAGTAAGGATAATACTTCAGCTGTATTTTTCAGCACAATAATATGAAAACAAAAACAAAATTGTTAAGTACTATATTATAAGATTCAGTCCTAATGGCACACTTGATATATTTGAAAAAATGAATGACATTGATTTTCTTATTCAGTCATTAGTGGATATTGTAGAAAAAACAATTCCAGAGTAAACATGTAGAATATTGTATTAAATTTATATGTTGTTAAACTAATTTGTCAAATGCTGGAAGACAAAAGGTAATGGTAAAACATAAGTCTCATAGTCAGAAAGAACTACATGCAAAAAGGAAAAAAGAAAGCTATGCAGAAATGGAACCTGCCATGAAAAAGCAAGTTTTGTCTAATAAAGTAATATGATACAAGTCAGTGGATCCTGCAAAAAAAGAAAAGCTTTCATCTCACAGAGCTTAATTGTATAAATTACTGGATCCTGAAGAAAAAGAAAAGCTTTTGTCCAAATCAGCAGATTGGTATAAATCACTTAGTTCTGCAGAAAAACAAAATCTTTTCTCTAGCAGAGTAATTTGGTATAAACCACTGGATACTGCACTAAAACAAAAGAGAACAGAATGGTTTGACTCACTCAATTCCGCACAAAAACAAAAAAGAGTATAAGGTATAAGTCATTGAATCCTGAAGAAAAAGGAAAACTTTGTCTGGCAGAGCAGAATGGTATAAAGCACTGGATCCTGCAGGCAAAGATAAGATTACATTACAATTCCAAGTTAATAAACTCAGTTCAACATGATTTAGATCATAGGATCCCAGCTTTTCAAAGTAAGATTAGAGAAGGTTCGTATTATATTTGCTCTGTTTGTAACAGAATACTATGCAGAAAAACTGTTACCCAGTTAAACAAACGAATTTACCACAATCAACAAGAACTATTTACTGAGTTGTATACCCATGATTCCTTTCTGTCTTGGAATGACCTATCACCTGTCGCCTGATGGCAACCTTTTTTGACATAGGTGTATGCCCTTGGCCAGACTTAAGCTGACTATTTCAGTATACTAGTCCAACACCCATAGTATCACTACACTTGATCCCAAGGATCCAGTACCATCCAGGTATCCCAGTTACCCTGCTCACAGGGTCTAGTTTCACAGAAAAAGTCAAAATGCGGGAGAATGTGTGGAAAATTCACTATTAGTAGCATACCCTTGCAAACTGAATTCCCAGTTTTCTGGGAATTCCTAGGAATTCTCAAAATTCCCAATTAAGCAACTAACCTTTGCAAACTGAATTCCTAGTTTTCTGGGAATTCCTGGCAATTCCTAGGAATTCTCAAAAATTCCCAACTATGCAAATAAGCTCTGATGTGAAAAGCTAGGAATTACTGGGAATTTCTGGAAAAGGAAGACTCCAGTTTTGTGAGTTCTTGGAATTCCTAAGAATTCCTAGGAATTCTCAGCTATAAAAACTACCTATAATTTAAGAAGGGTGGAATTCTTGGGAATTTCTGGGAATTGACTTTGAGGCAAATTAATTACCCTGAGGTCCACATATATTCCAAGAATTCCCAATACCTTGAATGTGAAGGTTTTAAGAAAAGGATTAATTTTAGAGGCTTAAAACTTTTGCTTAATAAAAGGTATGCTATACAAAATTTACCGAGAGATATACATACATATATATGTTTATAATTTAAAGATCATGAAATTTATTATTGAAATTAAGTTTTAGTAAATCTCTTCATTAATATGGATTTTCTCATGAAGCAGCAGTCAATTATGTTAAATGCATTAATTAATCCAATGTACTTATATCACAGATTTGCTTTCTCACCTCAAAGGACTCTTGGATTCCATGATCATAAAAGTTTTTATTGTGATGCAAAATATCTTAGGTTCACAGATGTGCCAAAATCATCAAACATTCCTTGGTAGACAACTTCCACATGTGTAACAATAATTACATTGTTATCTACCCTTAAAGAACTTTGTTAGTTATGAAAATAAGTTACTTCCCTAACCTACATTACTAGTTGCCTTTATTAGAACACCTTGGAACAGTCAAGCTCCATTGCCTCAAACACTGTCAGAGACTTTTTGTTCACATTATTTTTGGTAGAAATATCATGCCTTAGACAAACAAATTCAACACCTAATTAATCTTTCTTTTTTCATAATTGTTGTTCCTCTTTTTTTTATGTTTGTTGCTTTGTTTTCGTGACTGATTAAAAAAAAACTCTGATTTGAAAATATTTTTAAAACAAGACTTGTTAAAAGTGAGAAGTACAAACCGAGTTTCCTTTCAATGTCCCAATCACTGGACCTCCTAAAAAATATTACTTTTCTTTATTTTTGGTGCAAAATACAAGTCCTTCTTTATATACAAATGAAAAGTGCAAGTCACACTTCAATAATAACTGCTCTAAAGTTTACTTGTTGTTCTCCTCTGAGTCAGTAATCAACAAAATTGTTTTATACTTCGGACAGTGCTTAACCACTTGTGGACCAGAATTCCGACGCACCTCTGTAATCGCATATAGTTGCTTCTGTCTCTTGTACAAATGTTTCTCCTTTATGAGACGCACTCGACTGACTGTTGGCACCACTGCTTTAAGTTCAATGGAAACGACAGACTGAGGAATCTAGATGGCGGTGTTGGAACGTGTTGCTGAACGCTTGTTACGGTCAAGCTTTATTGATTTAGGTACTGGTACACTGGGATCATCTATGCATTTCTTACACCTCCTAATGTGGTATCCTTTTATAAAAATGAGGGTAAAAGACGATTTGTAATCGCATTCAAAATCGTGATTGGCTTGTGTTATTTCTCACCTATGCCATCCCTTACCAAAATTAAGTACACTTTTAGTATACTATTTCTGTAATCAAAGTGTACTGCAAATAAGTTACACAAAGTATACTTTCAGTAGACTTGAAGTATAGTTTACAGAGCTACTAAAAGTATACTTGTAGTATACTTGAAAGGTACTGAAAATTTTGCAGTGCACTTCAAGTATACTTCATGAGTAAAACCACTAGTGGCAAACTGACAAGTACAGTATACTTAAAGTATACTTTAAGTATACTTAGAGGGTATTCAAGATATTATAAATGAATGGCATACATACCTGCAGCCAGGTAAATTAATATGCACGAACAGGCATGCAACCACTAGTTCATACGGCATATGTTCAGCTGTATTATATACTTGGCCAAGTCAGATAAGCATTCAAGCAAAAGTATGAAATTCATGTCTTTAATTTATTTGGTACAACTGACCATGACAAATAACCTAAAATTTGTACAATAAAAGACTGCTTCTAAATTGTCTTTTGATGCAAAAATATATATTTTACAATGAAATCCATCATTGGATTATTTCATAAATTTTAACAATAAATTCCATGCAAATTAGAAATGACTCTCACAATGTTGGGATACTTAACAAAAACTATTCATTGTTTTAAAACGAAGAATATCTATAAAATGGACTTCATCATTCAATCATGTAAAACAGAAACAAATTTCATGAAAATCAGCAATGTCACTTACAATGTCTCTTGTTGGGATTAAAGCCAATAAAAAAATGGTTGTTGTAAAATGTAATAATCAAAAAATTGACTTTGTTATTTAATAATTAGAGAAGCAAGCAAGCCTTGTGCAAATCATAATAGAAAATAGTCTATCTACTGAGTATCCAATCATATCATTTTAATTAATCTTAATTCAATCGATTCAATTGTTTACTTTCCTGGCAGGTTGCCAACCACTTGCCCTTGTGGTTAGAGAACTAATTTTATTTCTCAGGGCTTGCTTGATTGTAGAGGCCTTCCCCCCTTGCTTTACCACAAAATCTGCAAAGAAAAAGAAACACAGGAGCTTAACTTTTTAGACTTATGCATGACAACAAGGTTGTGTTACTTTGGAAAGACTCATACCACAATCAATAATCCGAGATCACTTAGATCAAAGGAACTTCTGAATACTTGCTTGGAGTTGTTTTCCTCACTTTTTTTATATGGATGGTCCCAAAGTTTTTTTACAAGGCTGATCCCTGAGAAAGTCATGTTGATCAACATGTACAAGTGTACAGATTCCCAATAGTAATAAAATGACAAAAACACCAAATGCAATGTACTTACCCAAAATTGAGGAAACAATGTCAGCATTTAAGCCCTCTCTGGCATTTGCTCCGGTCAGATTCTTTCCCACTAGCTCAGAATTTTTATAAAAGCAGCTGAGCAGGAAACATGCTGCTGAAGTTGGGCTGTTTTTACTCTTGGCTGTGTTTATGTGATCCTCGTATAAGTAGACACCTCTACCTTTTGACAACTCAACCATCTAAAAAGGACACACAAATTTAACCATAAGGTTTTCATAACAATCATGTCATGTTTTTAATGTTAAATTGAAGGAAGGCTATGGTGAACATTTGAATTTTGAAAGTGCATGACCACTAAGGCAGTGAAAGCACTTTCAACTGATTCCCTGCACAGAAGTTTTCAAGTAGTCCCTCCTACAATAGCCATGTAAGAAATTATTTAAAACTCTAAACAAACTTAGTCTACATTGCATTTGATTGTCAGATATGCCTCTTAAGCTCAAATAATAAAAAATATATAAATTCGATAACTTAAGCTTCACAATCTAATTGCCAGGTATTAAGCCTTAAAGCATTTACCTTGAAGCGTGCTGCCACAATCTCAGGGACTTTCCCAGGTCTGGGGAGCTCTTCATAACAACCATTCACTACAACAGATAAATGGATTACATCATAGCTTTAATTACCTAGCTAACATGGGAAGATTAAATGTAGCAATCAATCAGTGGGTCAATCTGCTTGACTGTCACCAGTATTTTAATTCATATAAGTATGTAAATGTGGAAAGATACTCTTCCCTTCAAAATAATATTCATATCGTAATACAAGCATCACTATTTGAAACACAATAAGATGCATCATTAAAATACAATTTGCAAGAGTTGTAGCCTTATTAAAGTGCTTTAAAATGGTTTATTCCCTACTTTCAGAGTTATTGTAAAATTATACAAGATAGACTATGATCAACTGGTATCCATCTTTCCCCTCACAATTAGTCAATCCAATGAGAAGCAAAAGGAAAAGCAGACAGGAAAATGCCCTGCATTTTCTATCTTATCATTAAATATGTGAGTGCTAGTCATGTAAAAAGTGAGATATAATTACCTTGAGCCTTGAGTTGAGAAATTTCTTGATTTTGTGCAGCTATGATTTCCTTGTACTCCTCACATTTTTGGCAGCTGTGGTGGAATGTGGACCTTGGCTTTTTTCCACCCACAGTTGGTCTTGGAGGAAGTTGTGGTTGACTCTGGGAGAAATCCCTGGGTCTTTTTCCACCAACTGTTGCTCTTGGGGTTTGTAAAGCTGGTTTGGCAGAGTTGGAAGGGGGAGGAAGAGAGAGGGGGGGATGAAGGTAAGATGAACATTCGGATATAATATCTCTTCCACCAAAATATTCATCATCATCCATGGGTTCAGCCCTGTCAACATCATACTCCTCTTCATCAGATAAATTGGTAAATGGCTGCTTGCTTTCGACATCCAGATTTCTTGCTAAAGAGTTCATCTCTGCAAGTATGCGGTTATCCCTTTCCATCAAAGCAGCTCTTTCCTTTTCTTTTACAGCCTTTTCCCTTTCCTTGTTTTCCTTAGCCTTTTGTTGTTCTACTCGTTTCTTCTGTCGTTCTGCTTTCTTTCTTGCAATTTCTTCCCTATCCACCATTTCTTTTTGTGTGGATTCTTCACCCTCCTTCTCCTCACCAACATTCTTTCTGTTTTCCTTTGTTTTCTTTCCTATCTTTTTCATTTTATTTTGTTCTGTTTGTTTGGGGTTTTTCAATTTCTGCATGGCAACTTTTCTTTTCATCACTTCCTCTTTATCATCTGCAAGTTAAAACATCTCCAGCTATCAAAAAGATATCCATTAACAGTAAAAATAAACTTCAGTTGCAGCAACCAATCACAGCACAAGTTTGCAACAAAAGATTCTACATCTGTTTGTGAATTTGTTGCCTCCTCTTTCATCTATTTGAAGCTTGTTTTAAATTATTTTTATCAAATTAAATTATTTTATTAAATCCTATCAACAAAATATACAACTTGCAAGAGGCACACCATGTACCAGTAGTTTGTCACCATGCCTTTTCCATTGATTTGGGATTACAATATCCATTTCTATCCTTAATTACCTCCAGGGCTCGACACTAGCCACACATTGGTAGAAACACACATGGTTTTCAATCTCCACCAGCCAGTCTAGCTAGTAAGCAAACTGAAATTGTTGTAACATCTAAGTTGACACTAACCACTTGGCTAGTAAGTTGAAAAGTTAGGGTCGAGCCCTGACCTTAATCATGACTTTTTCAAAAAGATTTTAAGAAAATGGATTGTATTTAAAGTAGGTGGCACCATTTTCATCAATGTCATGCTTCCATGATGAAAAACCGAGCCATTTCGTAACATTTCAGAGCTAATTCTTTCAGATTTGCATAGAAAAGCAAAATCAAACAACTTAGCTTCCTATCACAAGATGATCAAAACAAAAAAAGTGCTTAGACTCACCACTTTCAAAAATTATTGTGCACAAGTAAAAGGTATCCCCATACTGTGCCTCTTTAAGGCCATCTTCCCTTGTTCTAAAGTCGTCGTCAGTTTTGATGTCCAAAATACCGTCATCTACAAACTGAACCAAGTAGTACACTGTACGAGCAGGAAAGAAACATAAATTAAAAGGAAGTTTTACATATTAAAAGGAGAGTTAAATAGTAGGAACTGAAAGTATTATTTCAAATATGTGCTCCTAAATTGTAAAAATATAATGCCCTAATTTTGACATGAAGTCATGTACAAACAAATAGAGAGTTACTGTTTTGTGGTCTCTGGGGTCTCTCTATTTAAATCACCCGCGGTGTGCACACGTGGCCTGAATTCGAAAATGAGCGCGAAAGTTATGAATAGACATTTCAAATTGCAAATCAACCACAAGAAAGCTATATATATTTCATTTTCGCATTGTGAATATAATTTGAAAGATATTTTGGGCCGGAACAATCGATTTCAAAAGACCTGCAATCTGTTTCTGGAATATGTTTCACAACAAATCGGATTAAGACAGAATCAACTGGTGAACGCGCAATCGCTATGCTCTGATCGCTTTAATTCACGGCGAAGTTATGAACCCAAGGATTAACAGTTATAGGTTATTGAATTTAAGTGATAAAAATCCTTTTCGAAGGGCAAATAGCGAATTTCAATCTACCCTAACGATGTAAGCTTGATAATTTATGCAAACACATTCCGACGTGCTTTGATTAATTCACTGATTTTAACAAAGAATGGTAATTCAGAGTTAACACAAAAGGTCACAAACCTTGATCCTCCAATCGTTTGGGAGCCTTGTTTGACCTTCTGGAGGTGATACTACCTTTCCTTGACATGGTTAGGGAACGATAACTATTTAAACACGGACTGTTGCTTCCACTGTAGCTTCCACTGTAGCTTCCACTGTAGCTGAATGACGGTTAGCTTGGGCCAACTTGACCTTTGGTACACGAATTTCGCGCGCCTTTCTTAGAGATGCGTGCGCATCCAATGAAGGGGCATTGTGGGTCATTCATGTCATGTTATTCAGGTCAGCGATCGTATTGAGCGAGTATGGCGGACAACAATGAGAAAGTCAGAGGTCCATATTTGCAATATTTGTCCGATTCTTCCACGCGTAATGTTCCGAGAACTACAAAATATAGATGGGACAAGAAAGCTAAATTAATGAGCGAGAGAGAGGAGAGCTGTCCAGAAGAAAGTAGCTTAACAAAAAGTCCCAGTCCGAGTTGTCAAAGGAATGAAGCAGTTCCCGGTATCTCAACGTCGTCTTTCTCTCCGGACGATTTTCAGTCGCCTGAACCGAACAATATTAATGCAAAAATGGAAGTTAACAGTTTTTCCAACAGTGGTGACGAATTTGAGACTGAAAGAGTCGAAGAGCTGATGTCGATGAGTGACGATCCAGCTCTATTTACTGATTTTGTCAGGGAAGACGATCGTGATATTTCTTATGCGGACGATTTTCCAGATGTTTTTGAAATGTTAGGTGAGAAGGAAACTGATGGGAAGAATAGCGATGAAGAGAGCGACAACGACAGTGAATCATCTGATGATAATTCTAACCGACCTCTCTATCCTGGATGTCGTCTTTCACTTGGCATAAGCATGCTGCTAGTGGTCACGTTCTGCGTGAGGCATGCTCTCTCCGGGGTCGCTCTTGCTGATTTGCTCACTTTGATTGAGCTGCATTGCCTTTTACCAAACCAGTGCGCGAAATCGACAAAGCTACTCCGTGAGTTTTTCGGGAAATTGAAGAGTCCTCTGGAACTTCATTATTACTGTTCGTTTTGCCAAGAATACTTTGGAACACAAAAACCAAGTTGCTGTTCAAATGCCGCCTGCTTGTGCGACTTCGAAAAGAAAAGGTCTGAATTATGCTATTTCATTGTCATACCTTTCATTAACCAATTACAAGCAATAATTCGAGGTAAGTTAACTTCAGTCTCCTTCCTTGCAAAATGAAAGGCTTTTTAGTTAAAGTATATTGAAATTGAAACTTATGGAAAATTGTGATTTTCGTCTCGTCACCTTTTTGGTATAAGAAAGGGTTATAGTTTTTGTCACAGTGTATTTAAGATATATATAGATTTTGAATTTTTGTATAAATAATGGAAGGTGTGAGGACTCTTGGGCAAAGTCTCCCCATACAAAACTTTGCCAATGAACTAACTTCCAGCAGCAACATACTGCTTTGATTTAACATTTCTTATTCAGTAGTGTCAATTTTATTCAAAGGTATGGGAGATTCAGCGCATGAAATACTACATCATCGTACGTCCAGGAAGAAGAAGTGCAAACACAACATTGAGGATATATTTGATGGTGAACTGTACAGGAACCACTTTGATCCTAAAGGTTATTTCCACGGGACATCAACTGCTGCAAGAGGAAAGGAAATCCACCTATCCCTGATGGTGAACACAGATGGTGTTTCAATCTTCCGTTCATCTAACTATAGCTTGTGGCCTGTGTACTTCGTCATAAATGAGTTGCCTCCAGAGAAGAGGTATCAAATTATTTTATTTAATTTTTTTTTTAACCCTTTAACTCTCATGAGTGACCAAGACAGAATTTCTCCTTACAATATCCATCCAATGTCAACCAGATAGGTGATAAGAATAAAGAAAAAATATCAATTTGGGATAATAAGTCGATCCAATACTAACTTCTCTGAACTAACATTACAAGAATTGTATGGTTGACAGTTAGGAGGATTACAAATTTGACTTGGGAGTTAAAGGGTTAATTATTTTAATTGGACAGTTCATTACATGAGGAAGCCTGAAGGTATGACTGCTTTTAATAAATGTCATGCATAATATCCTATAGGAAGTCAACAAGATGCTGTTTGAAATCTTGAGGTAGTTTGAAATGGTCATTACCCAGGCAATTAATTCTTGAGGAATCTAGACTACTGTACACCAGAAAAACATTTAATTACACCAGGTTTAACTGAATGAAAATAAGAAACAGGTAGTCACTAACTTGTTTTGTGCAAATTTGATGTTGAAAAAAATTGATTTGGCAGCTTCTATGAAGAAAACAAATTTAAGACAGTGACTAGATGAAGAGCTTTAAAACATGTTTCAGCTTTGGTTTCAATGGGTTTGAGTTTCTCTTTCATTTTTTATTTCATATCAAACTTTCAGGTATTGCTTTGACTGAACTAATTACACAATTTGAAAATGTAACATGTTGACAGCAAATCACAATAGCTGTTCTCCTGCTCATACTTTTAGGTTTAGCACCAAGTATCGTCTCTTTGCTGGTCTGTGGTTTGGACGTAAGAAGCCAGATTTCCGCACTTTTTTGCAGCCATTTGTAAATTCTCTTCATGGTCTCTTTAAAGAAGGTACTTAACTTTTGCATTATTTTTTCTTTTCCCATTGAGATTCCAAAGTTAAATTCCCTCTTATTCTTTCCAAAGTATTTCTATTATAAACTCAATGGTCATGCATGAGTTACCATTGAAGTGTTTAGAATAATAGACATCTGTGGTTATGAGAATTTTATAAGCATGATTTTATCACACTCACTCATTAAGTTGTTTTTATTCCAGGTGAACAGGTAACTTTCTCTGATGGATCTTTGAGGATTATACGTTGTATTCTTTTGTGTGGAAGTTTTGACGCTCCTGCAAAGTGTTTATTTCAAAATATGTCGCAATTCAATGGGACATATGGATGTCCATATTGTCTTCATCCTGGTGAAACTGTGAAAACCAGTGAAAGAGGGCACACCAGGGCATACCCCTTTCATATAAGAGGACATCAAAATGCAGAGGGAGGAAAACAAACAAATTTAACTGCCAGGACAATTGAGAAACGGACACATGAACAGACACTGTTATTTGCCAAAGAAGCTGATAACCTGAAAGGCAGTGGTAAAGATTCAGTAGTTAAAGGAGTGAAAGGGATGACTTGGAGTATGGTTTTACCAGGTTTTGATATCATCAATGGTGTAACAATTGACTACATGCATTGTGTTTTGCTGGGCATCACTAAAATGTTGTTAACTTTATGGACAGAAAAGTCATATTCCAGTAATCCATGGTATCTTGGGTCAGAAAATGTCAAGAAATTGGAACAAAGATACTTAGATATTAAGCCCCCAAATGTCATAACACGTACACCCAGAAGTCTGTTAAAGAATCTTGCACATTTTAAAGCATCAGAACTGCGTTCTTTTCTTTTGTACTATGCCCTTCCCTGTCTCTGGGGACTTCTAGAGGAAGTTTATTTTCAGCACCTCGTGCTTCTGGTAGATGCAATCTATTTACTCCTACAAGATTCCATTTCACCAAATGATGTAGAGAGTAGCTCATCAATGCTGTTACACTTCTGCACAAGGATGGAGGCCCTGTATGGTAGAAGGTATGAGACATACAATGTGCACATGCTGCTTCATCTCCCAGATTGTGTGAGACATCTTGGTCCACTATGGGGCACATCATGCTTCTGGTTTGAGGGCTATAATGGGGATTTGACAAAACTGTTTCATGGTACACAGAATGTTGACATTCAAATTACCCATGCAGTTTGCATTCATCAGAAGATACCCGAGCTAACCCCTCTGCTTCCTGCAGGATCAGCAGCAAAGAGCTTCTACAAACATCTTGTGGAAGGCCGTCCACTGCCCACTTGTAGAGAGGAAATTGCAGAGAAGGTGTATGCGATAGGTAGCCTTCAAAGGCTTGATTTAGATCCACAAACCAGTGTAGTTGTTAAAGATCTACTTGGGGAAATTTTAACTTCACATAAATTCAAGCGGCTCTGGAAACATGGAACAATGTTTCAGTGTAGTCAGTATCATGCAACTACAAAGAGAAATAGCTATACAGTTCAATTTACCAAGAATGGTACTTTAAATTTTGAAGAGTTGCAGTTCTTTTTAAAGTGTTTTCAGCTTTGTGAACATTCTGATAGAATTTATTATATTGCCATCTTGAAGCTGCTGGAGCCTAACCCAAAAATTAGCCTTTCAAAGGATAAGTTCACAAATGCTATGGTTAATCATATTGTTCCTGTTAAGAAAGCAAAAGGAGCATTTGTTGCAGTTCCTGTCATGGATATTATTTCAATGTGTGTTTCTGTCAACATCAGTGATTCTACAAATGCTGATTTTGTGTGTAAGCTTCCAAATAGGTTTGAAAAGGACTAGGCAGTAGTTACAGGGCTCGACACTAACTTTTGAACTTACTAGCCTTGTGGTTGGTGATAACTTAGACTTTACTAGCCAAAAATTTTTTTACTAGCTAAGTAAATG